ATCCCACAAATGTTACCGTGCAAAGACCATCTTCTTTTTTGCACTGCCTGGGAAAGGACTGCCAATCAACTTCTAGGGGTGACCCCAAATTCCAAGAATCTCCTCCTTGATCTCAGCCACTGGGGCTTACAGAAGGTGAACATCTCCTGTAAATGTCTGCAAGCAAATGTCAAAGAACAAAACCAGCAGGGAAATGTTAAAACTTGCCTGTGGTTATGAAACCATCAATAAATTAACCAAAGACACATTCTCTTTAATAACATTTGGGACCTATAAAAAAGCTGCCACAACAAAGGACACAATGTGATTCTGGGAATGCCAAAGAAGGGAGAGGAGGATTCACCGGCAATTGGCAAGGTGTTCCACTCCTTAAATCTTTCTGTGTTATCATAACACAGAGCAGAGGAAGCAGCTAATCTGCAAGGGAGGATGAGACGAAAGCTTGGTTTTCTTCTGAAAGGGCTTATAATACCTGGATTGTCATCTTTGGAACAACCGCCATCAAGGAGACGGCTGAACTGCAATAACCATCCTTTATAAATTTTACAGTCTTTATGAAAACATTTAACAGCCCAGCATAATGATTCATTTGGGAACATATTTTGCATGTGGTCCAACAAAAACAGCAATTGTAATGACTGAAAGCAGTGGAGTTAAGGTGTCACCTAATGTATCAAAGCTATAGAAGGCTGTGGGCCCATCATGCTGAAGAGCATTGTTCTCTGTCCCACCACACTAGCAAAACGTACGTTATCACAAATTCAGTGTTATTACATTTCATGTGCTTTTGGCAACCTACCAAACCACAGACTAGCAGGACAATTAAAGGTAAAGGGACCCCTGACCATTAGGTCCAGTCGTGGCCGACTCTGGGATTGCGGCACTCATCTCGCTTTATTGGCCGAGGGAGCCAGTGTACAGCTTCGGGGTCATGTGGCCAGCATGACTAAGCCACTTCTGGCAAACCAGAGCAGCGCACGGAAACGCTGTTTACCTTCCCGCTGGAGCGATACCTATTTATCTACTTGTACTTTGATGTGCTTTCAAACTGCTAGGTTGGCAGGAGCAGGGATCGAGCAACAGGAACTCACCCCATCGCGGGGATTCGAACCGCCGACCTTCTGATCGGCAAGTCCTAGGCTCTGTGGTTTAACCCACAGCGCCACCCGCGAGCAGGACAATTGTTTATCCTCAAAGGAAAATCATATGACGTGCCCTCTCCCCGCTACTTTGACAGTGCATGCCATGTGCTAAGGCTCTCTCACACTCCTCATTTTCAGTAAATAGTCATGGTGTATTTGTATACATCAGTGCCAATGCACTACTCAGCTACACATAGCAAGCTGTTCAAAAAGCAGCTTCAATGAGGTTTGCAACCATGTAAACCAAAATCCAGTCCTCCTGAGACTTTTCCTTTCCCCCTTGGGATGACTTTTAGCGGTCAAGAGGTCAAGCTGGCTGGGAATGGATTTTTTTCCAAGCATTTGTCAAGTGTTTGTTTCTGATTGTATTTTGCCTGTCTTTAATTTTTATTTCCTGTATTCAGTGGTTAAAATGAAACAAGTGCATAGATCTGTTTGCTGGCACACAGAGCTAGTTGTGGAAGCAAGAGAACAAGGTTACCTAAACATCCGTGCATGCTCTGGATCAGACATAAAGGCAAAGAAGTCATGAAAAGTCCAGGTGTTTGGCACAAGTTTTTTGTGTGGAAAGGAATCAGAGACAATCTCTCTTGGCTAGAAAACTAATTTTCTTTTTGGTTTTTGGAACTTGCTGGAGCAAGGAAAATGGCATCAGTTTCAGAAACGCTGGAGTTCTCCTCTCATGGGCTCAAATTCCTTCTTATGCACTTTTGTCCTGAACAGCATGTGCAACTGATTCCAAAGCTTTGAAAAATGGAAATTTCACAACTAGAACCAAATATTTACCTAAGTATGAACTTTTGGACTTTAACATTTAGGGTGAAAGTTTGCTTCATTGCTAGATTTTAAGATTTTAACATAGGAGTTTTCTTTTCATTTTTTTGGCAAATTGCAAGGAAATGATTCTCTAAATAAACTTATTTTTCTATTTTTGGATGTTACTGTGCCACTGATTAAAACACTCTATACCCATCCATCAGCAGCACTGCCTAGGTTTCCCTTGAGAGGAAGGGTGGGATATAAATTTAATGAATGATTGAATAATAGTAACAACAAATCCTCTGTTCAGTTTATGTTTCTGGCCCACTCCTTGGGGGTCTGCTTTTTATCAAGTAGTTGATGCACTTCTAAGTTCCTAAAATGCAGTTAAGACAAGTGTTGTTGTTAAAATGAATAAATGATTACCAACTCTGGCTGCAAACATAAGAAATTTGCTTTGCTTCCTCACTGCAACAGCAAGATATCAATAGAGTAAATATAGACAACAAAACATGACATGGCATTTGAAGTTCAAAGATGAAATTACTGAGAAATTCTCTTGGGCAAATCCTGCTGGGAACCGCACAAGAGTTTAAGCTGCCCAAGAGTAAGTCCCATTGAACTCAACAGGAGTTCTAAGTAGAAATGCACAGGGAAGCTATTTATTAACCATTCACAGGTGTACAATATGGTTGTCTCCCATCACCAGTGAGATGTTAGCAGAAAGTGTTGTGTTTTGCATGCCTCATAATGTTGCTAGAGAATGATGGCAACTTCCTTTTTTAGGTTATCTTGTTTGTCCATGGCAATACAGTCCATATCTTCTTTTTCATCTTGTCAAGATAATCCCAAATGTCTGGGATGAATACCAATGGTGACCTCTTGTGGTCCGTTTGAACACTACACAATTTGCTCAATAGATATTATTAGTTAATGATTCTGATTAAGATCCTGTTTTCTCAGAATGCACAGTTCTGTATTGATGGGCTATAGTGGGAATACATTTCTCCAGCCATAATGATATCAGTTTGCCTGCTTTTTATTTTCAGTAACCACAGGTGTTCAGGAAATTGCTTCGTACGGTAGCCTGTCTGGAGAGCAATGACCTTTTTGCTTTTGAGCAAAAAGATAAATTGCAATGGTGCCGCCACTGCTACTAGTATTGGTATCACAGCACCATCAATGTAAATGGAACTTTACAGAATCACATAAGCAAAAAAGGGCAGGTGCTCAAATCTATGTCTGGACAACTTGGGTTGCAACAGAGGGCGGGAAACATGAAGGTGAGCATGTGCAGTTGCAAGGAGGATACAGTCATTTAGTGGTAAACACAGGTGGTCCCAGCATCTCCAGGTAGAATTGCAAAGGACTCACCTTTGAAACCCTGAAGAGCCACTGCCAGTCAGTACAGGTGATGCTTAGCTAGATGGACTATTGACTTGACCTCATAAAAGACATATACCTCATAGCATATACAGTACTGCTATGACTAAGGACCGTTTCACTATTTTGGAGTGGGATTCAATCATATACCAGCAAAGTCAGGTTGCACAGTTAAAGTCAATTTGGAAGCCCTGCCCTATAAATCTGCTCTCCCCCCCCCCCCCATCAGGTTGTTTTGCAATAAGGACAGTGATAGGAAAGTACATTGGAAAGTGTGGGGACTCAGCTACATTAGTAAAAAAACCCCAGCATTTTGAATGCGTTATAAACATGCAACACCAGATGGTGCTGTAGAGCAGAAAACTTTTCTATGCAATTTTATATAGCGTTTCCCCCCCTTTTGTTATAATGATTTAATTTCTGACTTATTTATAGTGTTTCCCCCCGTGTGTAGATCCACTCTGGGATAACACTTGATTGGCACATCATCTCACTTCCCCACAAAGCAACAAGAAGGAGTGCTCTGTAAATAGCCGGTGTCATCTAAACCTCCCTGCAAACAGATCAGGATGACTGCACCTTTAGGAGGTCATCTGGAAGCGGCCTTTGCTTCAGTTGGCCACAAGGAACTAAATATTTCCATCCCTGCACAGGTTTGTTTTGAGGAGATGCAGAGGCCTGCTGCACTGATTGGGTAGTTTTGCCAGCCTTTTTCAAACCTTTAAGTGGCACAAAGCAAACCAAGGAATGCAGTGGCATATGAGCTGCATATGAGCAGATTCCTTCGTGGAGGCAACTGCCCCAGGGAGCCATCTAAAGTAGGGTTGCCATATGTCAGGGAATTCCCAGACATGTCCTCTTTGTCCTACATGTCCATCTGGGGGAATTTTGTCCTACATGTCCATCTGGGGGAATTTTGCATTTCAAAGCGAATGTCCTGGATTTTGGTTTTAAAATAAAAAATGTGCACAGGCAGGTCTGGCTGAGGCTCAGGCTCTGGCATGGGGCAATCTGGGCTGTGGCTTTTTTTGTGTCCAAATGTTCGCCTTTCGAAATATGGCAATCCTAATTTAAAGGGACTTCTGTGGGGCAGTTCATTTGTATGCACTAGCCTTCTTTCTATCCATCAAGACCACTCCCTTTAAGTCCCTCTTCTAAGCACTGTCTTCCACAAAGCATTTCTGGTCCTCTCCATAGCACTGCCCAGGGCCAGCCCAAGACATTTTGGTACCTGAGGTGAACCACAAAATGGTGTCCCCTTCCCCCAACAGGGAAGAAGGGCTGAGTGAAGATCTACATGAGGAACAAGAGGGGAATAAAGATTTGCAGTTGGATCTGCTGTCCCTGTGAATTCCGCTGCCTGAGGCAGTTGCCTCACCTTGCCTTATCAGCGGGCCGGCCTTGGCACCGTCTCTTATGTTCCCTCTTCTACAAGCCATCACTATCCCTGGTCTTTAGCAAGCCCTTTCTTCTGCTTCCTGTCTGTTTCAGTGGCATGCATTCACAGCTTTGCACTCAGCTTCTGGGCTGTACATCTGTGTGTTTTACAGCTATATTTGGAGCTTAAATGCTCCTAGTCTTGGCAAGTTTGCACAGGTTCCATTCTAAATGATGACTAAAAACATTCTTCCAGGAAGAGGTGATTGCTTCGTTCCCCATCTCCACTCCATTCTAGCAACTGAGAGAGGTTGGAAGCCTTTGATCATTCAGGGAAGAGCCGTAGTTTAGCAGGAGAGCAGCTGCTTTGCATGCAGAAGGTCCCAGGTTCATTCCCCGGCATCTCCAGGGAGAGCTGGGAGAGGTCCCTGCCTGCAACCCTGGAGAGCAGCTGCCAGTCAGTGCCGACAATGATGAGCTAGATGGACCAATGCTCTAACTTGGTATAGCAGTTTTCCATGCTACTAGTGTGCAATGTGAAACATGCTTACCTGCAAGTAAGTCCCACTGTATTCAGTGGGGCTTTCTCCCAGGTAAGAGCGCATAGGAATGCAGCCTTAATAGAGGTGATGGGGGAAATAATAATAATAATAATAATAATAATAATAATAAAATTTATTTATACCCCACCCTCCCCAACCAAGACCGGGCTCAGGGCAGCTAACAAAAATTAAAACAAATTGATTGAAATACCACTTAAAAACAAGATTAAAATACAACATTAAAACATTAAAATATTAAAATATAGCCACATTTCAACTCCGGCTTGTAGGGATTCCAGCAGCCAGCATAGTCTATCCCACCTACCCAGTTAAGAGCCTAATGTACTTTATCAAATGCACAAGTACTCATAAGTAACATGAAGAAGTGATTGTTATGGCTGCTTTTGCAGAAATTACTAATTACTGGTTATGACTTATTACATTTATCTCCCACTTTCCTTTCATACAGCTTAAGGTGAGGGATACTGGATTTCTGGACAGTCCCCCCATCTAGATCCTGTCCAGACCCTGACAGACTTTGACAATCAGTAAGATGACTGCATCTTTGGACTTTGACAGTGATTTGCCTGAGTCAAGGGAGTTAGCCACTAAGGTCAGTGAACTAGGATGGGGTGAGGCAAAACCAAGGAATGAGCCTGCCTTTTGCTTCTACTATCCATAGCCTTTAAAGGAAGCGAACAGAAGGCTGTGTGGATTGGGGTGGAGGTTGGATGTAGATAAAATGGCGGCATTCCTTATGTAGAGAAGAAGCTCACGTATAGGCATGATCTTATTAATACATAATCTATCATCTTTCCCAGTAGTGATGTATGGAAGTGAGAAGTGAGAGCTGGACCATAAAGAAGGCTGATCGCCGAAGAATTGATGCTTTTGAATTATGGTGCTGGAGGAGACTCTTGAGAGTCCCATGGACTGCAAGAAGATCTAACGTATCCATTCTTAAGGAAATCAGCCCTGAGTGCTCACTGGAAGGACAGATCGTGAAGCTGAGGCTCCAATACTTTGGCCACCTCATGAGAAGAGAAGACTCCCTGGAAAAGACCCTGATGCTGGGAAAGATGGAGGGCACAAGGAGAAGGGGACGACAGAGGACGAGATGGTTGGACAGTGTTCTCGAAGCTACAAACATGAGTCTGACCAAACTGCGGGAGGCAGTGGAAGACAGGAGTGCTTGGTGTGCTCTGGTCCATGGGGTCACGAAGAGTCAGACACGACTAAATGACTAAACAACAACAAGCTATCATCAGACTAGATTCAGCACTAATGAATCCTCCATTGGACAACATACATGCAAAAATATCACTAAGCAACAGCCCTAAGCATACTGATCTGGAAATTAAGTTCTGTGACCAAAAGCAGTGGGGCTGAGGTTCTCCAACTGTGTTTAGGATCAGAACCTCAAACAGCTAATCTTCTGAGCACTGCCCATGTGCATGGCTACCCTTAGCCATTTTCATGCCACTGGTGAAAAACCAGCATCGCTTGTCTGTCCTCAGTTACCCTTATCAGCCTCCCAGAGTGGCTGGGGCAACGTGGCCAGATGGGCAACATATAAATAATAAAATTATTATTATTATTCTCCATTACTGGCATTACCGTGGAAGAAATGCTCTGCTCCTCAGCCTTCTGGGAGCAGCTTCTTTAAGAAATCCTGTGCAAACTGAGTGTGCCCAGTAGCCACTCAGATGTCTTCTTTTCTTCCACTCCTAAGCAATGCTTGAACCAGGAAAGAGTGGGACTGGTGTGTGTGTGTTTTCAAAATGTTGCTGCCCCTATATCATAGACCAAATATGCCACCTTATGGAGATCCTTAGCCTCATGATTAGGCATGCTTCTGTATTTTTTTTACCCAATTGTAAAATAGTAAATAGCTAAATCCCACAGTTATACTAAACTAGAACATTGGTATTATTTACCTGAACGGCTGATTATGACACCCCCTGTGGTCAGTGGCTAGTGGACAGCCAAATTTAAATCTCCACCCATCTGACCTTGGATCAGTCACTGTCTGATGAAGGGAGGGCTATAAATCTTACGAATAAAATAAAATAAAATTCTGAGCCTAACCTACCTCACAGGGATGTTGTGATCACAAAAGAGAAGAGAAGAACCATGTGTGCTGTCCTGGTGTGTGTGGCAACCCAGTCAGATGGGTGGGGTAAAAATAACAGCAGCAGCAGCAACAATTGATTGTGTGTGTGTGTGTGTGTTTTGTGCACACATCTGCTTGTCCTGTGCCTAGAAAGGACAGGTCCAAGTGGTTTTTCTGCTTTCCCCATGCTTTCTGGGCACAGGTGTAAGCTGTTTTGTGTTTGTCCCGCAGCTTTCTGCTGGAAAACACGCTCTTTGCTGCTGAATCTGAACAAACGGCAATCCACGAAAAAGCTAATTGCCATTTGGCCTGACTCAATTGTGGGTTTTCATGGAGAAAAGCAGTGGTGTCCCTTAGTGGCATCTGTGCTTGATTGTGCGTGGGTTAATTGCATTTTTCCAAGAAGCTGACCTGCACGGCTGCCGATATTCCCCATGGCTCCATTCTACACAACTGCAAGGAAAACAAACTATCCTGAAATCAGCATGCTGATTCAATCCAGAGGGCAGAGGGTCTTCTATAGATTTTGCAAGGTGATTCAGCTCCCAGACCTATCCCTTGTGGGCATGGATGAAGCTGGCTAGAACTGCGATATAAGAAAACAAAGCCTGTTTACTTTCCTTGGCTTCTGGTCAAGAACACTGCAGCTGTCTCTGTTCCTCTTGGATCAGAACACTATGTACCCCCACCCCCCAAAGAGGGACATTCCCTGGGCAGCATCCCAATTGGCTCACAGTCCAGATGCTCCATCAGCTGCTCTGCAATGCCCTCTAGAGGCACCCTAATGACTTCTCTTCGTTATTCATAAGTCCTGTGTTGGGATCTTGGTTTTTCTGCTTTCATATTGTTAGGAGCTTGGCAAATAGCCTGTGGCCTCACTGGGGCCATTGATTCAAGAATGCCAGGTAGACAAAATGCACGGGACGCTGACTCCTACATTTCCACTAATCGTCCCCCGCCCCTGCATTTTTATGAGGGTGACACCGGGGCTGAGATCTGGGAAGGCAAGATCTAGGATAACCTAGGGGGAAGGGAAGATGGAATAAGAAACACAGGAATCTGATTTATACCTGGTAAGATCATTGGTCTCCTGAACTCAATACTGGCCACACACTGACAGGCAGCAGGTCTCCAGGGTCCCAGACAGGTGAGTCTTTCCTAGTCCTACCTGGAGTTGCTGGGGGTTGACAGTGTTGAAATTTTGCATGCAACTCGGCTTGCTGTGAAGGGTTTGCATGGGTTAAGGCAGATAAGAGTGATGAACCCCCAGCTTCCCAGACTATTCCTATACCTTTATCTTTATGCAGGCTTCTCTCCATCTCTTTGATGTTTAGAATGATAACCTTAGCTTGCATCCTGTTTATATCTTCCCCTTTCCGCTCCTCCTCAAATATTCGCCTGACCTTGAGGTGAGAGGTCTGAAGGTCACCTTTTTAGAATTCAGCAGGAAGGAGGATAGGGCAGAACTGGAATTAGTTGGCTCTGTCTATTACTGACTCTGAATCTGTCTGTCATTGGCACTACCATAGGCAGCATCTGGCGGGGGGAGGTCTGGGGAGCCAAGGGCCAACCAAATTTTCGAGGAGGGGGCCAGACCTCCTCAAAAATCCACACTGGCCATGCTCGTACACTACATGACATGCTCACCTTAATTGCGCAGCTCGCGTGGCATGCCTGCGTCACTCGAGCATGCCCTGTGGTGTCTGCGCAACATGTCAGCACATTGTGTGATGTGTGCGCATGACATCAGCATGCCCTTAATTGCGGGGGCGAGGTGGCGCACTTGGGCACTGCTATCAGCCTCCTTGCCTTCTGCCCTCACAATCCCAGCCTCCACCGATCTGTGCCAAAGTCTGGATGCCTAAGTTCCCTGAGAGATGGCACCAGTGGTAGCTTTAGAGAAGCGCAACCAGTTCAGTCTTGGGGGTGCCACAGGGGGCAATGCAACTATGATGTAGAATGAAAGGTGAGAGGTGTCAGGAGTGCTGAATTTTGGCGTCACACAGGGTGTGGCTGAAATTTGAGAAATTTGAAATTTGAGGAGTGTGCCTTTGGGGGTGGAGTTAAACCATCAGAGAGTTACAGTGCCTGCTGTGGCTGTGATATGAGACAGGTATGTTTTGTTGCAGCTGATGAAGGTGTCTGGTTGTGCTGCTACAGGTGCACCTTGGCATTTATTCTCTCTGTGCTCCTCCCAGTGGTAATTCCTCCTCCGATCACTCCTGTGGATACACGACCTGACTGTCTGTCTCCAGGCACTGCGGTCATCTGCAAGGGATTCCCACAGGGTGGTGCTGATGTTGCCAGCCTTCATGCCATGTTTGCAGACATCTTTGTAAAGCGGAGTTGGTCTGCTAACCAGCTTGGTTCCCGAAGCCAGCTCCCTGTGGGGCATCGTTCAAATACATAAACCAATAACTCAGTTTCTATGTAGACAGGTAACGAGACATTTGCTCCAGCTACAAACCTGGCAATACCCTCATTTTGTTTTAGAAGCATCCCTAGGAAATATCTCTTCTGCAACACAATAGACTTTTCTGGCAGCAGCTGTTGTATTCTGGGCTGCATTCCAGTCTCTCTTGACATTTTGGAGCTGGCAATGTAAAATAGCGGTGGGGGGCAACCAAGGGTTGAGGGGGACAGACATATTTGAGGAATTATCTCCAGAAAGCTATCTTTAAAGGCAACAAAAGCTCAGCTGTTGTTTCTAAAGATGTCCCACACAGTATTCACTTTGGTAGCTATTACCTCTT